TAAATAATATAATTTGTTAGTAATTTTAACAATAAACTTTATAATCCCAAAAGAGGTGAAAATAAATAGATTTAAGCTTTTTGGGGTTTCTTCCATTTCTTTTTGTATTAATTTCAAAAATTAAGTTGTTTATTAATTTTGTTATATTTTGGCATTTTAAAGCTTTTTAATGATTTCTATTCTGCAATAGTTTTGTTGTTAATTGATAGACAATTTTGTTAGAGAATTTATATAATTGACAATAATTTGTGTTTGTTATTTAAAAGAAATTTGCTAAAAATAAAACTTTATTTAGAGTTTTGCAGAAGTTTTTGGAATAATTGCTATGATATGAATTTCCATCAATCAAAGTCTTGGCTACACCAGAGCCATTATGTCCAATACTTTCTTGATTTAGCTTATAATCTATTCCATATACGTATGTTTTTTTTTTGCTCTTACAAATTTTTCTCAAAAACTCCTCATCATATATACCATTTTAGTCTCCTAAACCAATTAAATTTCTCATATATCTAATAAATTTCTGTCAATATTGTCAAAAATCTTTATTCACCATTAAAACTCCTAACCCCAGAGTCTGTCTGGCTGATAGTATTAAATGAAATCAACATAATTCACTGATTAGGGTGCGGTGCTAAAGATAAGCAGCCCAAAATTGTTTTAAACATTTTTTTTTTGATGCAATAACAAAAAAAAAAAAAAAAAACAAGTAAGAAATTATAGACGGACGAGGCCGACCATATAATACCCTACACCTTTGATTTAGTTGCCATAATAAAGCATTTACGTTGACTTGTACCTTGCCTTAGATATACATACTTAAGCCGTTTATTGTTGAATAAAATTGTGGACATTTAAGTGAAATTTTGATGGGGGCTTTTCATAGGGGCTAGGGTCATATGAGAACCTATTATTATGGAATTCGTGAGGGTCATCAAGTCTTGTATACAACTTGGTTTTTGCAGCTTTTTGTCGAGATATGAGTATATTAAACATAATTATGAACATAAAAGCCCTATTCGGCGGGTTCAGTTGCTTGGGGGCTAGGTGAAATAATGGACCGATGTAAACCATTTTCAATTGGCTTCGTCTACGATACCATAAAAGATCATGTGCCAAATTTCATTGAATTATCTTCAAAATTGCGACCTGTAGTTTGATTACAAGGATTACAAGCCCTATTGGGGGGTTCAGTTGTATGGGGGCTAGGTGAAATAATGGACCGATCTTAACCATTTTCAATAGGCCTCATCCCTGGGACAATAGATCATGTACAAAATTTCATTGAATTATCTTCAAAATTGCGACCTGTAGTTTGATTACAAGGTTTACATAGATGGACGGACGGATGGACGGACGGACAGACAGACAGACAGACAGACAGACAGACGGACGGACGGACATAGCTAAATCGACTCAGAAAATGATTCTGAGCCGATTGGTATACTTTAAGTTGGGTATAGGACTAATATTATTGTGCGTTACAAACATCAGCACAAACCCAATATACCCTCCCCACTAAAGTGGTGTAGGGTATAAATATTTATGCACACATACATTAAGATGAGTAGCCATAAATTGAATTGTAGACATTCCAGAAAAAAAAGTACGTTTACATAAATTTGCGCAATCCTTTCAAACAAAAACACACGAATTGGAAAAAAAGAGCAAAAAATACTGAATACAATTTATGATCACACATCTGAAATAAATGCATTCGACGGACTAACAGTGAATGAATGAGTTTGAACGTATAAATGAATCCAAAAAAAATCTATATAAATAAATAAGAGAGTTAACAGCAAGATGCTCTACTATTATTAAAATGTTGCAAACTATAGTTGAAGAAATTAGTTTAGGCGCAGAATCAATTTGGGAGGCATAAGACTTCAAAGCAAAATGTTACTGCTCTTTCTCCTACTTTACTTCTTAGTTTCTCTTTACTCTTTTGCCAATGTCCGATTCATTAAATTATACGACAAACTTTTGAGAGATCGAGGTAATGAGGCTTAACATGATTGATTCGCTCAAACACTATCTGATGACATACTCTATATGGGTCATGTTAATAGAGTTCATTTTAAACGGATTTAAACCGTGCAATAACCGCGGGGGGTTCAACCGCATACTGGAGAGGGCAGCATTGTATCAACCCTTAACAATGGAAAGTATTCCTATGAAATTAGTAAACTCGTTTCATATACCCGTATGCAACATACGTCTATCTTCGCACAACCTATATTTCTAAATTCAATACAGTGTACAGCGGCCCTCACTGACACAGACTCTATTGGTATGCTTAGTTTGGAGTGCTGAGCACCTTCTGGACCGACTAGGAATCCTATCATCAAAATCATTACCATTTTTGATGGATGGTTTCATCCACAAACACTACTCCTTCTCTTGCACTCCATAAGTATGAGCCATGACCCTGAGATCGGTAGAAGATTTCGGATTTTATGGGTCATGTTAATAATAATAATAAACATTACTGGTTGGTTTACGTGGTAGATCACTATACGTGAACTGTCAAGTAGAATCGAAGAGACTCCGTTTTGAACACCAACATTACTACTCTCATATATGCACCGCAGCTTCGAAATCTAAACTAAAATTGAATAGCCTCTGTTGATTTGGCACTTAGAATCGAAATACGAAACCATAAAATAAGCCAAAGACAAGCTTTTACTCACAGAGAACAAAAAGTCGTAAGTCAAGTATGAATAGAGCCAACCTATGATGTCATCTGAATAGGATACCGTCCATCCAACACCATTTGGCCAGCATTTGAAAAATCTTTATGATGGGCACTTAACGAACACTGCGTCCTTTACGTGATATTTGCTTAGGGTCCTTCGACCTCATCATTAGGAGAGGATGGGTTTTCCTTCAGATTTAGAGCAAATATCACAGTGATGTTAATACCTCAAACTTCACAGCAGAGCAAGTTTCTCTGAAGGAGTTTTTCAATCTCAAAAGCTTCTGCAGAAAACATTCGACACTTTATCGTTATGTTCTCATTCATTTCACATCAACTCATTCCCAACATTTAGCTCTACAGTCATAGATTTTATCACGTATCGGTATTTAAACAAATATTCTCTTACCAATATTGGGTTCAACCACAGCCATGACGTGCACACCGAAGAAACCTTCTCAATAAGCGGCAAAAGAGTTAAAAACTTTGCACTGTGGGCTACCGGTTCCCGTGATACCACATATAAGTTATATTCTCCAGTTCTACCCCAGGTCAAGTGAATTTAAGGAATAGTCGAGGATTCAAATGATACCTCTAGTTTGTTGTTGTAACAGTTCGACTGTGGCCGGTAGTTCTTTCCTGAAATTATAACAATAAAAACTTAATTATTTGAGTTAGTGTCTGTGGGTGGAAGGGGCAGCTGGAGAGACTGGGCCACCTCAGTCGGTCTTAACACTAGGTCTATGGCGCGCAAATTTCTAGACCTAGCTGGCCAATTGAATAAATGCACCGTGCCATTAGGTCTTTGATGTCATGGAAGCAGTTGAGGATACTACACCAACCGACTCTTAATTTTGCCAAGATGGTTCTAGAATGCTTGGGCAATTGTCTCTCACAAACCGAGATCACAGGGGGTTCTTCATTTAGGACTCTGTTGCATCTGTAGCCATTAATGGCTTCGGTGACCGCGTTTGATGCAACATTTCCCAAGCGCTTGCAATTGACAGTCTGTCGATGTCCGATTGTATGACGTCTTGGATGTCGGAAGTCCATCCGGATGTGCCTGGGAGTGGGATCCTAGTCAACAACACATTATGTTGTCTGACTGACAGTAACATGGTCTCCTTATGCAAATGATCCACATTCGTCATCTTGACGCATCCGGTTGCGATTCGAAGTGCATTATTCTGAGCCATTGGGTATCACTGAGGAATGAGGTCCATACTGGGGCAGTGCACCTGTTGCCCTCACGGACACCGACTTTAGTTTAGGCTGAATATCTACAGGACAGATTGGGAGTCCTTAAAAGAACCATCTGGAGATTTCTCTGTACCCTTTATCCTAAGTATCTTTCCATAGCTTTACCAAAGCCGAGAGCTTTTCGTTAGGCGGGATATGGCTAGCAACTCATGACACTTACATGACCATAGACCCTTTCGAATCCAACGTCCAAGGTACTTCTCTTTGCTTTATACTATCCAGAAAAGCCAGAGATTTCTTTTGATCGGTCAGCATTTGAAAAATCTTGAAAAATCTTATGTCATGTGGAATAGTTGGTTTGGGTATATCTTTACCTTCAGATTTTGAGCAGATATCACAGTGATGTTAATTCCTTAAACTTCTGAGTGGCGTAAATTTCTCTGATGGAGTCTTTTGGCAAACTCAGAAGCTTATGCAAATCACATTCCTTCGAAATCTGACAATTATGCTCTACGTTTCTGGCATGAACGTCAGTCAAACCCTTCTTTAGAACAATGTTAGTGTCTCCATTTTTCATACCCTCGCAGTTAATCAAAGCCCTAGCGACCATCATTTCAACTTTTTCACCATTTCCCCTCTCAATTCTGGCCGTTTGATCCTATTTCTGTAATTACAAGGTCTAACGCCCTAATGGGGTCCGGTGAAATAGTAGACCGATTTAAGTCAATTACAACAGGCTTAGTATAGGTCTCAAGACATGTTTGTGTCAAATAACATCTTGAACGTTTTGACCTGGGTCCAATATCTGTTATTCGAAAAATCGCAAATCCTTACTATCCTTACTAATATTAAGAAATATTCAGAACTAACACTGGGTCACATTATAAATCTTATTACATTTGTGCCATTAAACCTTTATCGCCTACTATACTCTAAGGAGTGACTGCTCATTCGACTGATCACTTAAAACATTTTCAACTTCACCTTAGCACACAAATATTCATGAAATTTATAGCAAATGTAATAATTTCAATTAACAACAATTTATTGCACGAAATAAATTTGTTTATTTTCGTTTAAAAAGAAATTTCAAAATGCACACAACTCTTTTCACAAATACACATCTGACTTCAATACAATGTTCTCGGTTATCATACATAAAAATTAGAACAATATTTACGTTACATTTCACACTACTTGGAAAATATTTAGCAAAAAACTCCACATATCTCCATAAGCAAATGCAATTAACCATTTAAAGCTTAGATGATATATTAACCATATCCAATTACCAATAATGACAACACCAACTGCTGCCCCTCCGCCACTGGTTAGCTCAGGATCCAGAGTATAATGCAAAACACTTTTCGAAGATTTTTTAAATTTTTCATTGCGTTTATTTTGATGCAAACAAATGCGTAACAAATCATCGGTGACAAACAAGTTCATGGGAAAACAGGCGCCAAGTGCTATTCTTAAATATAAAGGATTGAGTTTTTGATCCTTTTGTTGGTGCTGAATACAAGTGAAATTTAAGGCGGAGAAAATTTCAATAATTTTACAATCATGTAACTGGGAATGTTTAAAGGATACAATATATTCCGTTTGACTTATATTGGAACGATATAAAATGAAAGGTTCTCCCACCTTAATCCAGTCATCGTGATATTTAATGGCAACTTCTTGCGGATAAACGCCACGGCAATATTCCAGAAACTGAATGTCTTTTATCCATTCACAACGTTTAGAGTATTGACTTTGTAGGTATTTAAGGTTAACAAAAAGGAGCAGCAAAATTATGTTAAATTTAAACATTTTATTACATTTTTTTTAATTTTAAACAGAAATTGATTTTAAGGAAATTGTCAATCATAGTAAGAGGGTTCATGAAAAAACTTTTTATTCCAAAACTTACTGTTAAAATTAAATGTTTGGACATGCAAAATTATCTCAAAATTAAATCTTACAGTAAGATTTTTACACATACTATTCCCAATTCTTATACCAAGACCTTTACAAAACCTTAAACTTAGAGTTTTACAAAGTTCTATACTTTGACGTTTTTATATATTTTAGCTATTTGACTACCAATTATCGTGGAAATTTATTATATATTAAACACAGAGCCAAGAAGCCCCAATGAAATAGGGTCTTTATCCTAATATAGGAAAGCGCCCGGCTATAGAATGTCCCTTGCCCACTTATAGATCTCTAATATATAGGCCTGCAATTTCTTATAAACTATTTAAAGTTTCAGATCATCATGTATTGTCATCCTTCAGATGGACTAAATGGACTATTTCACCTCGTGTTTATAGATTTTCCTACAATGGTCATGTCTGCCTCTAGCGAAGTGTTGCCTAAAGCGTCTGGATGTTGCAGATGTAGTTAGTTAGTCCGTAGTTAGTTAGTTAGTTAGATAGTTAGTTAGTTAGTTAGTTAGTTAGTTAGTCAGTCAGTTAGTTAGTAGTTAGTTAGTTAGTTAGTAGTTAGTTAGTTAGTTAGTCAGTAGTTAGTTAGTTAGTTAGTTAGTTAGTTAGTTAGTTAGTTAGTTAGTAGTTAGTTAGTTAGTTAGTTAGTTAGTTAGTTAGTTAGTTAGTTAGTTAGTTAGTTAGTTAGTTAGTAGTTAGTTAGTTAGTTCGTTAGTTAGTTAGTTAGTTAGTTAGTTAGTTAGTTAGTTAGTTAGTTAGTTAGTTAGTTTAGTTAGTTAGTTCGTTAGTTAGGTAGTTAGTTAGTTAGTTAGTTAGTTAGTTAGTTAGTTAGTTAGTTAGTTAGTTCGTAGGTAGTTAGTAGTTAGTTAGTTAGTTAGTTAGTTAGTTCGTAGTTAGTTAGTTAGTTAGTTAGTTAGTTAGTTAGTTAGTTAGTAGTTAGTTAGTTAGTTAGTTAGTTAGTTAGTTAGTTAGTTAGTTAGTTAGTAGTTAGTAGTTAGTTAGTAGGTTAGTAGTTAGTTAGTTAGTTAGTTAGTTAGTTTTTAGTTTTAGTTAGTTAGTAGTTAGTTAGTTAGTTAGTTAGTTAGTTAGTTAGTTAGTTAGTTAGTTAGTTAGTAGTTAGTTAGTTAGTTAGTAGTAGTTAGTTAGTTAGTTAGTTAGTTATTAGTAGTTAGTTAGTTAGTTAGTTAGTTAGTAGTTAGTTAGTAGTTAGTTAGTTAGTAGTTAGTTAGTTAGTTAGTTAGTTAGTTAAGTTAGTTAGTTAGTTAGTTAGTTAGTTAGTTAGTTAGTTAGTTAGTTAGTTAGTTAGTTAGTAGTTAGTTAGTTAGTAGTTAGTTAGTTAGTCAGTTAGTTAGTTAGTTAGTTAGTGTTAGTTAGTTAGTTAGTAGTTAGTTAGTAGTTAGTTAGTTAAGTTAGTAGTTAGTTAGTAGTTAGTTAGTAGTTAGTTAGTTAGTTAGTTAGTTAGTTAGTTAGTTAGTTAGTAGTAGTTAGTTAGTTAGTAGTTAGTTAGTTAAGTAGTAGTTAGTTAGTTAGTTAGTTAGTTAGGTAGTTAGTTAGTTAGTTAGTAGTTAGTTAGTTAGTTAGTAGTTAGTTAGTTAGTTAGTTAGTTAGTTAGTTAGTTAGTTAGTAGTTAGTTAGTATGTAGTTAGTAGTTAGTTAGTTAGTTAGTTAGTTAGTTAGTAGTTAGTTAGTTAGTTAGTTAGTAGTTAGTTAGTTAGTTAGTTAGTAGTTAGGTAGAGTTAGTTAGTTAGTTAGTTAGTTTAGTAGTTAGTTAGTTAGTTAGTTAGTTAGTTAGTTAGTTAGTTAGTTAGTTAGTAGTTAGTAGTTGTTAGTTAGTTAGTTAGTTAGTTAGTTAGTTAGTTAGTTAGTTAGTTAGTTAGTTAGTTAGTAGTTAGTTAGTTAGTTAGTTAGTTAGTTAGTTAGTTAGTTAGTTAGTTAGTTAGTTAGTTAGTTAGTTAGTTAGTTAGTTAGTTAGTTAGTAGTTAGTAGTTAGTTAGTTAGTTAGTTAGTTAGTTAGTTAGTAGTTAGTTAGTTAGTTAGTTAGTTAGTTAGTTAGTTAGTTAGTAGTTAGTTAGTTAGTTAGTAGTTAGTTAGTTAGTAGTTAGTTAGTTAGTTAGTTAGTTAGTAGTTAGTTAGTAGTTAGTTAGTTAGTTAGTTAGTTAGTTAGTTAGTTAGTAGGTTAGTAGTTAGTTAGTTAGTTAGTTAGTTAGTAGTTAGTTAGTTAGTAGTTAGTTAGTTAGTTAGTAGTTAGTTAGTTAGTTAGTTAGTTAGTTAGTTAGTTAGTTAGTTAGTAGTTAGTTAGTTAGTTAGTTAGTTAGTTAGTTAGTTAGTTAGTTAGTTAGTTAGTTAGTAGTTAGTTAGTTAGTTAGTTAGTTAGTTAGTTAGTTAGTTAGTAGTTAGTTAGTTAGTTAGTTAGTTAGTTAGTTAGTTAGTTAGTTAGTTAGTTAGTTAGTTAGTTAATCATCAGTCTGTGGTCATCCCGAACGTCGAGTGTAAGTACCAGATTTGAGGAAAATGAAAATCAGACGAATACGAATCACCACTAACTATGTACTACATAATGCTACTACCACATACGCAACAGTCTTCACTTGATCCAAAATATTTGGCTTCATAATAAAATCAAACTAATATGTATTGGGACCATAATGTAAAATTTCCCTGAGCGGTTACCACACTGTTTGGAGGTGTAAAGGTAAAGAAAAATACTTTAAATTACATTTCCTTAATGCTTTTTTTCAATTTACGACAATCCGATTAGAACAATAATTAAGCACATTTCTGGTATTATTATGGATAACTAAACAGTTAAATAAAAACGCCGAAAAAAACTAGAGCATTCAAAATTTATTTAACAATTTTAACACAAATAAGCATATTTAAACTTAACTAACCATGCATGCCCTGCTCACCAATAGTTCAATTCAAAATCAAAAGCAATGAAAATACCCCCAAAAGTGATAAAATGATTGATTCAAAGATTAAGAACAACAACATACATTTTAAAACTTAAATGATCACTTATTACAACTTTAAATGGTATTTTACACCATAAATCCACCCAAAAAAATTTTTTTATTCATAATTTAATGTACTGGATGGAGACCATGAAAATCCCCGAAAAAAAACTTCATCATCTACAACAACTTAAATGTTGTTACAAGTACGTAAGCGCGTAACATTGAACAAAAAAAAACAAAATCAACAACAACAAAAAAGATTTAAAAACAATGGCATGTTAAAGAATAAAGATACAAATCGTTATGACCAATAATAATTCATTTTATGAGCCATTTTTTCATATTATTTTTTTCATCTTACAGTTTTTGGAGTTTTACTGCAAACATGAAAATTTTTCTGAAAAAAAGTGAACCTATTGATCGTTGCCTGTTAAAAGGCCGCGAGGCCACATAAAACAACATAGTTTTTTCTCGTAGCTGTTTCTTACTTTGGCCACAAACATTTTATCTGCGTTGCACTTGTTGTTTTGTTGTGCACGTTTTGGGTCTGCAACAAAATTCCTCTTCCACCTTGTATGAAAATAAATCTGATGTCTTGACCAACCAAAAAAAGCTAAACAAAAACACAATTGAACTGGTAAGGAGATTTAACAAGCGTTGATGTTAAGCGTTAAACAAAAAATTATATTTCTTTTTTGGCATTACACAATTCCCCCAAAAAAATCTCCTCAGATAGACCAACGTACAACAAAAACTTGGTGCTGAAGTCTATATCAGGGTTTTACATTAAATAAATGTCGAGATTACAATGTATTTCTTGCTGCTTTTATTGGTGCTCTGCGTCTTTTTCTGCTACCAGAGAGATCATGTCAGATTGCCTTTCCATAAGCAAGATATGTATATTCGCTTTCGTAGGCACATGATGTTTGGATGTGATTTTATGCACAAAGGTTTTAGGTAGACTTTAGAGTCTTCAGTACAGTAAAAAACTGTAACAAACTACAACTAACTAGCTAATTAACTAACTAACTAACTAACTAACTAACTAACTAACTAACTAACTAACTACTAACTAACTAACTAACTACTAACTAACTAACTAACTAACTAACTAACTAACTAACTAACTAACTAACTACTACTAACTAACTAACTACTAACTACTAACTAACTAACTAACTAACTACTACTAACTAACTAACTAACTAACTAACTAACTAACTAACTAACTAACTAACTAACTAACTAACTAACTACTAACTAACTAACTAACTACTAACTAACTACTAACTAACTAACTAACTAACTAACTAACTAACTAACTAACTACCTAACTAACTAACTAACTAACTAACTAACTAACTAACTAACTAACTAACTAACTAACTACTAACTAACTAACAACTAACTAACTACCTAACTAACTAACTAACTAACTAACTAACTAACTAACTAACTAACTAACCTAACTACTAACTAACTAACTAACTACGAACTAACTACTAACTAACTAACTAACTAACTAACTAACTAACTACTAACTAACTAACTAACTAACTAACTAACTAACTAACTAACTAACTAACTAACTAACTAACTAACTAACTAACTAACTAACTACTAACTAACTAACTAACTAACTAACTAACTAACTAACTAACTAACTAACTAACTAACTAACTAACTAACTAACTAACTAACTAACTAACTAACTAACTAACACTACTAACTAACTACTAACTAACTACACTAACTAACTAACTAACTAACTAACTAACTAACTAACTAACTAACTAACTACTAACAAACTAACTAACTAACTACTAACTACTAACTAACGAACTACTAACTAACTAACTAACTAACTACTAACTAACTAACTACCTAACTAACTAACTAACTAACTAACTAACTAACTAACTAACTACTAACTAACTAACTAACTACT